TTAGTACAATTGAAAACACCCGAAAATCATTTTGTTTTAATGTCTTGTACATTTGACAACATCAGGGAGCATCTACATTTGAAAACACCCGAAGAACGTTAAATTTTAACGTTTTGTACGTCTAAAATCATCTAAAAAATAAAAATTCGATTAAAATTCTCGACGTCAGAACAACATTTGAATAGCAAAATTTTATTTCACGTTACATCTAAATAGCAATGTTTTCTAATGTTTGATGCCAGGAATATATTTTATTTCGATGCTGATGTAGACATCAAACGTTAGGCAAACGTAAATTTTTATTCGGGTTCCCCCGGGACACCCGGAATATGTCCGGATGTGGCCAAAGTGGTTCTTGTTCTGGTTCTTGTAGTGGTTTGAGTTCCATTGAACCAGAAATTGAATTCTGATGTATTTTGATGAGTCGCATGATGGGTTTGGCCATAATCAGATGTTGGCCTCTTCCCCCGGGACATCCGGAATGTGTCCGGATGTGGCCAAAGTGATTCTATGAACTAGATTTGAGTTCCATTAAACCAGTCGTTGAATTCTCATGTAATTTGATGTGTCGCATGATGGGTTTGGCCCTAATCAGATGTTGGCCTCTTCCCCCGGGACACCCGGAATATGTCCAGATGTGGCCAAAGTGGTTCTAGGAACTAAATTTTAGTTCCATTGAACCAGAAATTGAATTCTCATGTATTTTGATGTGTCGCATGATTTGGTTGACCCTAATCAGATGTTGGCCTCATCCCCCGGGACACCCGGAATATGTCCGGATGTGGCCAAAGTGGTTCTTGGAACTAGATTTGAGTTTCTTTGAACCAGAAATTGAATTCTCATGTATTTTGATGTGTCGCATGATTTGTTTGACCCTAATCAGATGTTGGCCTCATCCCCCGGGACACCCGGAATATGTCCGGATGTGGCCAAAGTGGTTCTTGGAACTAGATTTGAGTTTCATTGAACCAGAAATTGAATTCTCATGGATTTTGATGTGTCGCATGATGGGCTTCACCCTAATCAGATGTTGGCCTCTTCCCCCGGGACACCTGGAATGTGTCCGGATGTGGCCAAAGTGGTTCTTGGAACTAGATATGAGTTCCTTTGAACCAGAAATTGAATTCTCATGTATTTTGATGTGTCGCATGATTTGTTTGACCCTAATCAGATGTTGGCCTCATCCCCCGGGACACCCGGAATATGTCCGGATGTGGCCAAAGTGGTTCTTGGAACTAGATTTGAGTTCCTTTGAACCAGAAATTGAATTCTCATGTATTTTGATGTGTCGCATGATTTGTTTGACCCTAATCAGATGTTTACCTCTTCCCCCGGGACACCCGGAATGTGTCCGGATGTGGCCAAAGTGGTTCTTGGAACTAGATATGAGTTCCATTGAACCAGAAATTGAATTCTCATGTATTTTGATGTGTCGCATGATTTGTTTGACCCTAATCAGATGTTGGCTTCTTCCCCCGGGACACCCGGAATGTGTCCGATCTGGCCAAAGCGGTTCTAGAAACTAAATTTGAGTTCCATTGAACCAGTCGTTGAATTCTCATGTAATTTGATGTGTCGCATGATGGGTTTGACCCTAATCAAATGTTGGCCTCTTCCCCCGGGATACCCGGAATGTGTCCGGATGAGGGTAAAGTGGTTCTTGGAACTAAATTTGAGTTCCATTGAACCATAAATTGAATTCTCATGTAATTTGATGTGTCGCATGATGCGGTTGACTTAGCTTGTAAGATATTATTGTTAGGTTAAGATCTATTTAATAAAAAAAACATGTTAGTTATAAGAAAATGAAAAATAAAATTTATTGATGAAGTCATGTTTATGCTTCAACTGTTTTCATTTTTATTAATTTAAAACCCATTGAAAAAGAAAATGGTGGTGAACAATCGGGAGCGCGCCGGGGCGCCTGGGGGCGGACAAAATGGCCGAAACGATCAGTTTTTTGACAGGTATCGTTTTCGCCTCAGGCGCCCAAATGTTGCAAATATGGTCGCCCCCGGCGCGCCGGCGACCACACTGAACGAATTTGACATATTCCTGTTATGTGGAAGTCTAATAAATTTGCGCTATAAGATAATCCATTGAAAATGATATGATTGAAAATGTGTCAGGTAAATTCTATATGAATATCTGATACATTTACAGTGCTGATAATTTGGTAACTTTTATATGATCGTCATATGATAAATGAAAATCGATCAAATTATAATAATTAACTGAAATGGATTTGAAACCCATAAGCATAAGCTTTACTTTTCACCACAATATAATATATGTGTCATAAATCAATCGAAGGAAAGTTTATGTGAAAATCACATGAAATTTATTTCTTCTTTTGACACATATATTTAATCGATTTCTAAAAATAAATCGAAAAATAAACATCAGGCAGTGGGAGCTTTCAAAGTTGTGTCTTTTTTATTGTAGCTGATTTGGGATTCGATCGAGAACTGTTGAGGTGTGATGCATTCGGTGTCTGCGCTAGATTCCACTGGGCCACGGCTGACTTCAAGATTGAGCTCGTTCAAATAGCATGAAGTAAGAACAGCTCTCCCGACATGGAATGTAGTGCAACTTTATGCTCGTTTTGCTAGAGTGAAGACAAATAGCACTGACAAATTTATGTTCCATTTCGGTGGTGTGGTTTGTTCAAATCTTTCTTAATGCACCTGTGTGCAATAAATCAACGACTAAATTATATGATTTGATAGAACTGGCTCATGAAGGTCGAATACTACTTAGGGCTGGAGTCTGAATTAGCCGTGTAGAAGGCTTACAATTAGAATCATAGCAAAGTAAATATTACAGTAGAATAATTTTTTTTCAATCTCAATACATTCTTTTCTGGAACCAATTATCATATGAAACAATAACAAACAAAGCTTATTCAATGCAGTATCATTATTGTTAGTAGTATTTAGTTCAACTAATCATTTTAATGAGTGTACGTTAACATCGTTGAAAATTGTTTCAATAATTTATAAAGAACAATCATGTAAGATGTATTTTATTGGGAGCGATATTCATCACAGAAAAACATGCAAAAACAAATGCTTGCTGTTGGATTTCTTAAAAGGCATTTCTATATGACTATTTAATGATTGGGATAGATCTGTCTACAATCTTTAAACGTCAAAAATCAAAGCAAGCTATTACAATGAGATATACATGTTTTCCTATACTGCAAAGTTAAATGACAGTCCAATAGTTTCTACATGTCTATTTACACGCGACATATCAACAAACGTCAAAAATCAGTAAAAGCAACTCCAATAAAATATACATGATTATCTTATAAGATATATATTTTAGTGAGCAAAATTCATCATGAAAACAGGTATATTTTACTGAATTTTCTCATAGTGCAAACTTATATGATTTTCCATTAGTTTCTAGGTGTCTGTTCCCACCCATGACATATCAACAGTTTTTCACCATGAAATATATCAGAAAATATTCATATACTTCTTACCTTCGCTAACCACGTTCGAAGCAAAGTATTATCAAGTACTAAGTATGTGAAATTACGATAGAAATCATTCCATATCGCAGTCATAGTTTTTAAGTGATAATCCAATGGAATCTATCAATCATCACATAGAATGAATAAATCTGCTGACATTGCTATGTTATAAGATGGATCCAATAAACGGTACATGTCGATTTGTTTCAGTGCAAAATTGGACCAAGCGGCGCCGCGAGGTTCGAGTCGCCCAAGTCCGCCCCGTCCGCCGAGCGGTCCGGGGGCGAGCCGTGGGCGACTAGCCCGCTGTATGTGGGTTGTTTTTGATGAGTCAGCACTACACGGCGAATGAGAACGACCCAAATTTGAGGTTAGTTCACTCATAAATCGCAAAAAGTGCAGGAACTCAGTTTTGAATTAATTTCCCTCATGTTCCGAATATGAGAAAAGCAAAGATTGGATTCTCTGGATTCTCGTAAATTTTCCTTATTTTAGGGCAGATTTTTGAGGTTTTCCACAGGAAAACATGCGGCAAATTTACTCATCCTGCACTTTTTTCGATATTGAGTACACTGTACTCAAATTTGCGTTGAGCTCATTGGCCGTGTACAGTTTTTTTTTTCGCAGTGGGAAAGAAGTTTTGGCATGCCCTGTGGGCAATGTTTATTTGTATGTAAAACAATGCCCTGGTGACGTTACAGTGCAAGAGTTAATTAGTGTTTTAATTGATTATTATCGTTTCAATTGAAAACCGATTTTACTCTTGTTCTGTACGTTAAACATAACGTCGGCTATAGTGTGCTGTACACGCTAACTTGAAAGTACCTATTAATGGTTGAAAAAGACCCATTTTGAAGAAAAGTGGCTTAACTCATTAAATGAGTAAATTTTTTACCCATTAATGAGTATCTGTTACCCATTAATGAGTAATTGTTAATCATTAATGGGTAACAGATACTCATTAATGGGTAAAATTGTTTAATCATCAATGAGTTAAACCACTTTTCTTCAAAATGGGTCTTTTTTTACTCATTAATGAGTACTTTCAAGTTAGCATGTATACCGCATCCGTGTATACGAATACACTTACTACCCCTGTTGGGTGGTTTTGCTCCTCCGTTTTTGACAACATTAGTGGTGGTAAGCTCCAACCGGTATTATCCTCGGATTAAATCTCGATCAAGAATGTCCGGCTGGTTTGATGTCGACATCAGAGTTAATCAACATAACTCTGAGCAAACATTTTTCAGATCATACAAACAGGGACGGTATTAAAAGTTAATCCGAGTTGGAGCTTACCGCCATAGAAGGAGAAAAGGATAAAGCCCTACAGTAAAAGTATGGACGACTGTCACCACAAAACTGAAAAAAGCTGTTCCAATCGAGCAAAGCGGTGCATTTTGACGGTTCGATTGGAACAACTTTTGACAGACGTCCATACTTTTATTGTAGGGCTTTAGAAAAGGAGACAAACTAGTCAAAAGGAGGTAAAAGTGAACTGGCCGTTGGGTACTTTTTTCTTACCGTGTACGAATACAGCACCCCACACGAATAAAGCCCTACAGTAAAAGTATGGACGACTGACACCACAAAACTGAAAAAAGCTGTTCCAATCGAGCAAAGCGGTGCATTTTGACGGTTCGATTGGAACAACTTTTGACAGACGTCCATACTTTTACTGTAGGGCTTTACACACGAATTGCCGGCGACAAAGTGACGTCATTTGACATTGGGCGACTTAAAGACTGACGTTTTTAAATTGGTGTGTTTTTTTTTGTCGTGCGCTCAGCCATCTTGTCTGGTTTGTTTATAAACAAACTAGACAAGATGGCTGAGTGCACGGAGCGCACCGCAAATTCCTTCACCCGAGCCGCGAAGGAAAGTAGCAACTTTAACAGTAAGTATTCAAATATTTGTTATATTTAGTGTTATTATTTGTAATTTCTCATCCGGATTTCTCAAGCGGGTCAATTTTGATGTAATTATTTTCAAAAATTGATCCGGTTGAGATAAGCATCCTTGCTGATGCAACGCATCAACAAGGATGTTTAACTCATCAGGATTCCTCCAGCGGATCAATTTTGAAAAATAATGACAAATTCTAACAAACATCCAAAATTTTGATTAATTTGTATTTTTTTTTTCAGCCGGCTGCTTCCAATAATTCCGGATTGGGACGTGTACGGAAATTGAATAGAGGTAGGTGTTAAACAGTTTTTATTAAGTGTAATTATTTTTAAAAATTGATCCGCTGGAGGAATCTGACTGAGTTAAGCATCCTTACTGATGCAACGCATCAAAAAGGATGTTTAACTCATCCGGATTCCTCCAACGGATCAATTTTGATGTTACTATTTTCCAAAATTGATCCGCTGGAGGAATCCGGCTGAGTTAAGCATCCTTGCTGATGCAACGCATCAACAAGGATGTTTAACTCATCCGGATTCCTCCAGCGGATCAATTTTGAAAAATAATTACAAATTCTAACAAACAGATCCAAAATTTTGATTATTTTGTAATTGTTTTTTTTTTTTTCAGCCGCCTGCTTCCAATAATTCCGGAGGTGTTCGGGAATAGAGGTAAGTATTGAACAATTTGTTATTAAGTGTAATTATTTTTTTTTTAAATTGATCCGCTGGAGGAATCTGGCTGAGTTAAGCATCCTTATTGTAAGGATGTTTAACTCATCCGGATTCCTCCAGCGGATCAATTTTGATGTATTTTTTTTTCCAAAAATTGATCCGCTGGAGGAATCCGGCGGATTTAATTGACTGATGCAAAGCATCAACAAGGATGATTAACTCATCCGGATTCCTCCAACGGATCAATTTTGATGTAACTATTTTCCAAAAATTGATCCGCTGGAGGAATCCGGCGGATTTAATTGACTGATGCAAAGCATCAACAAGGATGATTAACTCATCCGGATTCCTCCAACGGATCAATTTTGATGTAACTATTTTCCAAAATTGATCCGCAGGAGGAATCCGGCTGAGTTAAGCATCCTTACTGATGTAACGCATTCCGATACCGGATCCCGATGTTTATGTTTAAGTTAAAGTTTTATTATAGTTAAGTAAAATTTAAAGTTAAGTTATGTAACAACTAAATTTAAGTTAAAATTATGTTAAAGTAAAAGTTATGTTGATGGTAAGATAAACTTATGTTAAAGTAAAAGTTAAAATTTATTTAAAGTTACGTTAAAGGTAAGTTAGAGTTAAGTTAAGGTTACGTTTAAGTTAAGTTAAAGTTATGTTTAAGTTAAGATAAAGTAAAGTTAAAGTTATGTGTAAGATAAAGTTAAGTTAAAGTTATGTTGAAGTTAAGTTAACGTTAAGTTAAAGTTAAGTAAAATTTAAGTTAATGTTAAGTTAACGGTAAGTTAAAATTATGTTAAGTAGAAGTTTATTCAAATTTAGTTATAAGTTATGTTAACGTTAAATTTAAATTAAATTTATGTTAAAGTTAAGTTAAAGTTATGATAATGTTAAGTTATCATTAATTTAAAATTAAAGTTGTGTTAAAGTTAAAGTTATGTTCAAGTTAAGTTAAAGTTAAGTTATGTTAACGTTATGTTAAAGTTATCTTAAAGATAAGTTAAAGTTAATTTAAAGTTATGTTATGTTAAAGTTAAAGTTAAGTTTAAGCTATGTGAATGCGAAGTTAAAATTAAGTTATGTTAAAATTAAGTTAGAGTTATGTTTATGCTTAAGTTAAGTTAAGCTTCAGTTAATGTTAGGTTAAAGTTATGTTAAATTTAAGTTAAAATTACGTTGAGGTTATGTTAAAGTTTAGTTAGAGCTAAAGTTAAGTTAAAGATATGTTAAGTATATGTTAGGTTAAAGTTAAGTTAAATTTATGTTAAATTTAAGTTAAAATTTCAAGTTAAGTAAAGATTAAGTTAAGGTTATGTTGCAGTTTAGTTAAAGTTAAGTTAAAGTTAGGTTAAAGTTATGTTAAATTTAAAGTTATGATAATGTTAAGTTATAATTAATTTAAAATTAAAGTAACGTTCAAGTTAAGTTAAAATTGAGTTAAAGTTGAGCACAATTTAAGTTCATGTTTAGTTCAATTATGTTATGTTAAGGTTTATTCAAACTAAAGTATAAGTTATGTTAAAATTAAAGTTATTATAAAGTTAAAGTTAAGTTGATTTTATGATAATGTTAAGTTTTTTTTAATCATTCATTAAGTTTAAAAGTGATGTTAAAGTTAAAGTTATTTTGAAGTTAAAGTTAAAGTTATTTTAAAGTTAAAGTTATGTTTAAGTTAAAGTTATGTTAAAGTAAAAGTTATGTTAAAGTTAAGCTAAAATTAAATGAGAGCTAAAATTAAGATAAGAGTTTGTTAAAATAAAGTTCAAGTTATGTTAAAGTTAAAGTTAAGTTATAATTAAGTTTAACTTATGTTAAGGTAGAGTTAAAGTTAATTTAAAGTTTTGTGAAATTTATGTTAAAGTAAGTTTAAAGTTAAGTTAAAGTTATGTAAGAGAAAAAGTTATGTTATAGTTATTTTAAAGGAAAGATAAAGTTTTGTTAAACTTAAGTTAAAGTTATCCCTAATAAACGGATACCATACACTAACGATGTCATAGATGGTACGACCATACCGCATAAAGTTGGGATGATATCCCGAATTGGTGGTTAGGCGCTTCTTATGGTTATTGTTTATGCGGGATGTTAAAGTTAATTTAAAGGTAATTTAAAGGTAAGTGAAAGTTTTGTTAGAGGTAAGTTAAAGTTATGTTAAAGGTAAGTTAAAGCTAAGTTAAAGTTATGTTAAACTTAAGTTAAATTTGTGTTATACGTAAGTTAATGCTATCTTAAAGTTAAAGTTATGCTAAAAATAAATTAAATTTATGTTAAATTTGGTAAAATTTAGGTTTTGCTAAAATTATGTTCAAGTAAAGTTAACGTTAAGTTTAAGTTAATTTAAAGTTAAAGTAAAGTTTAAGTTATTTTTAAGTTAAAGTTAAGTCTAGATTATTTTAGAGTTAAAGTTAAGTTTAAGTTATTTTAAAGTTTAAGTTAAGTTAAAGTTATGCTGAAGGTAAGGTAAAGTTAAGTTGAAGTTATGTTAAAGGTATGTTAAAGTAATTTTAAAGTTAAAGTTATGTTAAAATTAAGTTAAAGTTGTGTTATAGGTAAGTTAAAGCTATCTTAAAATTAAAGTTATGCTAAAAAGAAATTAAATTTATGTTAGATTTGGTAAAATTTAGGTTAAAGTTTTGTTAAAGTTAGGTTCAAGTAAAGTTTAGGTTAAGTTAAAGTTATTTTAAAGTTAAAGTTAAGTTTTAGTTATTTTAAATTTAAAGTTAAGTTCAAGTTATTTTATAGTAAAGTTAAGTTAAATTAATGTTAAAGATAAGTTAAAGTTACGTTAAAGTTGTGTCAAAGTTAAGTTAAAGTAATTTTAAAGTTAAAGTTATGTTAGAGCTTAGTTAATGTTATGTTAATCTTTATTTAAAGTTATGTTATAGGTAAGGTAAAGTTAAGCAAAAAATAAATTAAATTTATGTTATATTTGATTAAATTTAAATTAAAGTTTTGCTAATATTATGTTAAAGTAAAGTTAAAGTTAAGTTTAAGTTATTGTTAAGTTAAAGTTATTTTAGCTTAGCTTAGCTTAGCTTAGTCTGACTGCACGTATCGATAGTTGCACTCCGTGATTGATCTGAACCAGTGAAATTGTACAAAGATTGTTAAGTTAAAGTTATTTTAAAGTTAAAGTTAAGTTTAAGTTATTTTAAAGTTAATTTTTTGTTAAAGTTAAGTTTAAGTTATTTTAAAGTTAAAGTTATGTTAAACTAAAGTTAAAGTTCTGTGATAGGTAAGTTAAAGTTAAGTTGAAGTTAAATTAACGTTAAGTTAAAGTTACGTTAAAGTTAAGTTAACGTTATGTTATGTTATGTTAAGTATAAGTTAACTTAAAGTTAAGTTTAAGTTAAAGTTAAAGTTAAAATAATTTTGAAGTTAACGTAATGTTCAAGGTAAAGTTAGGTGAAAGCTAAGTTAAAATTAAGTTAAAGTTATGTTAAAATTAATTTAGAGTTATGTTAATGCTTAAGTTAAGTTAAAGTTCAGTTAATGTTAGATTAAAGTTATGTTAAATTTAAGTTAAAATTACGTTAAGATTATGTTAAAGTTTAGTTAAATTTATGTTAAAGCTAAAGTGAAGTTAAAGATATGGTTAGTTGATGTTAGGTTAAAGTTATGTTAAAATTTAAATTATAATAAATTTCAGTTAAAATTAAGTTAAGGTTATGTTAAAGTTTAGTTAAAGTTAAGTAAAAGTTATGTTAAATTTTCCTAAAAATCTGCAAATTACTTAGACGATCTTCGAACTTCCCTGAAGTTCTGTGTACTCCCTGAATAAAATAAATGATGATGATGGTCCCACCTCTTACCCCTACAAAGGTTTGAGCTGGACGATTTATCTTTAAGATAATTAAATATGACATTTTAACCAGGTTGGCAAACAAAATCGAACTGGTTTCAGTTACAGATATAGATTCCCTCTAAAGTTTACAGTTGCTTCACAGCGATATAAATGTGGAAAAGCTCAGGCGTCCACCTCTTAGTCCGCCTTTTTGTCCACCTAAAATATTCATAAGTATTACAAGCAATCAAGAGTTAATGAACAATCAACAAAGCATCCTATTACACTAGTAACCCCGCAATCTGATGCTATCATAATTTTCAGCAATGTCAGGAATGCTCACGAACCCCCAACATTTGCCTGAAAACTTACTACTAACTCAAGGTATCTTCCAAATAAGCTTCAAAATTGCATTTTTTTTTTTTATCAAATGTTAAATTCAGTCCTCTATATCCGTAATACGCGCGCGAGGCTCAAACCTTTGTAGACTACTATTTTTTTTTACTACTACTATTAAATCATATATCAAAAATCCATCATCACCATCGTGGCGAACAAAATAGTTTTTGCAGTGCTACAATAATTATTAAAAAGTCGTTATAACAGCTATCCATACAAAGTAATCCGTTAAAAATAACTTCGTCAAGATACATAATTTGTCAATTCATAAAAAAAAAAATCACTGGATAACCGTTCAAAAGACAGTTTTAACGTGTGAAATGCAATGTCTCTTAAATTCTGCTAATGTTGTTGAACGTTTAATGTGTCTAGGCATCGAATTGAAAACATTTATTCCTTTAAAAAATAATGAATTCTGTGAAGCACAAGTCAAGAAATGTGGTGTTCTTATTTCATCCGCGTTTCTAGTATTATATCTATGAAAGTCACTTCCTCTTTCAATTCGATCACACAAATATCGAGGCAGCAAACCGTTAACTATTTTAAAAATGAACACCATAGTCAAATATACAATTCTTTGCTTCACCGACAACTCTAGCATCAAAGTTGAGGAAGTGAATCTATTACATCTCAAAATCAAACGCATTATTTTATTCTGCAAGCGCTGTAATCTCGATATTTGTGTTGCATTAGACAGAAATGAAATGGATGGGCAAAAGTCTAGATGAGGAGAGATGATTGATTTGTATAGCTGTATTTTACTGGCAATAGTTAAATCGTTTTTCAATCGACATAGAATTCC